CCGCCTGCCTCTGCCTCCCGAGTGCTGGGATTAAAGGCGTGTGCCACCACACCTGGCTTGAACTTAGTTTTAGACAGAATATTGATTAATAGTCCAAGCTCTTTATATCGGGGATAAGAAACCTAAGACTTGGAGAGAAGTTGGTTGTCGGAGCTCTCACTCAAGCTTGCCTTTGAGCCATCTTTCAAATATGCAAGTTGGATGGCATGACTCCCAAGCTTCAACCCCTATGTTTCAATACTCAATTGATTACTGTGCGCCTCTCTTCCTAGCCACCTGCACCCACCCTCCCTGTCACTTAAGCCTCTGTACTTGCTCAGCTCTCATGCTGCAATGGCCTCCTCTACTCTGCCCTCTCTATACTTTTTATCTGGCCAACTCCACTTACAACAAGCATGGCATCTACTGGCCCTGTTTGGACTCCTTGCACCTTCCCCACCTAGTTCTATCCCAGAATATCTTGCTCTGTGCTATGTTTGTACATCCAATTTTCCCAGTGAGTGCCAGAATTCCCCCACATCCCTGTGCTTGGCAAACTGTGGCCAAGAAATGGGTTTGCTGGTCAGAAACATATTAATATATAAAACTAGGATCTTAGAGTTGAGGAGACATTGAAGATGTGTAAGTCTAGTCTTATATGATTTCCTCAAATCCTTCATACAACAGCAACCACTGCCTCAACATGGCTATTTTCAAGATGCAAAATGATACTACTTTTTGAGCTGTTTACTTCTCTCAGGACATGTACAGCCAGCAGAAAGCTATTTTCTAAACCAAATCTGTCCCAGTGACCTTCTACCCTCTAGATCCATGCAAAATAAGACTAACTTCTCTTCTACATGACAGTCCTTTATATCTGTGAGGATAGAAATTCTGTATCCTCTTCTCCAGAATAAACATCCCAGTCCCTCCAGCTCTTCCTTATGTAAACATGCCTTCACGTTTTCTCTCCAACTTGACCACCCTTCTTTGAATGGGTTCCAATGTTAAACACTTAAAAAACTTTGATGCATCTAAGGATGGAGCCTCAAACTGATTCCAGACCCCTGGCCTGGGGCTGGGAGTGAAGGGTAACATACTTCCCTCTCTCCTGTTTTCAGGAACCCTACCTGTAAGCCTGGACTCTAATCAGCTCTGCTCTTGGCAGCTGTGTCATGCTCTTGATTCACGATGAGCAGACACAGCTTAGGCCTCTTCCACGCTCACATGCTCTTTCTGGGCTCATACAGCTGGTTCCTTATACCCAAAATGCAGACCATCTACACCCACTAGAGAGTTTGCCATTAATAGGCATGAGCAGTCAATCAAGACTTTTTGCCTACACTGACTCATTTCTATCTACCTATAGTAGGTGCCACAGGGAAAATTATGACATAAAATGACCCTGAGAATCCTTTCAAAGGTACCTCAAAGACTGTAAAAACAGCTTCCAACTCCAAACCACCACAGAATAATAATGCACTAGTTACTTCAAAGACAAACTTTCTACAGCTAGCAAAATATAAAGTAGATTAATATTCAAAATTCACTTTGTATTTCAATAAGAATGGGAAGAGGTAGTAATCTTCTGGGGAGGACACATCTCCAACTTGCTTCTGGAGCCTTTGACAAAGTCTTCTGGGGTGTACGAAAGAAAGATCCCTTGAGTATAATTGGCATTCATATGCTGTATGGTCATTCAGCATTAAACTAGTTTCTCCACCTTATAGACTGATCATCTAAACAAGTTACTATATTGTAAACAGACTATAGTAGCTTATTAGAAAGTGTAATTACAAATGGTATTTAGTCAGCACAGAGGCACTACCACAGATTTCTTTTCCTGCTGCCAACCTGCAGTTCAAATAAAAAAAAAAAAAAAAAAAAAAAAAAAA